AGCTACCAAGAAGAAGTTTGCATGATGGACTGCTGTACTGAATCTATCACTGGATGTAAAACATGGTGACTGAAGCAGAATAATCAGCAGCACAGCACTGTCTGCTTAGAATAAGAACTTACACCAAGACTGAAAGTTTGGGACTTGATAACAGCGATGGGGAAACTGATTACATTAGTTTCATAGGTCTGCTGTGTTGCTACCACCACCATTTCAAATAAAAAAAAACTGACATGGGGAAATTGCAACCTGGGCATTGAACTGTTAAATTTGGCTAGAAGCTGGCTGTACTTCTGGCTGGCTTCCTCACTTTGTTATTCTCCCTTTTCAGAATGACTTGTATGGGAGAAAAGGGTATATAATCCTCACTAGGTGATGAGGTAGAGGACATAAGCTTTTTCACAACAGTTGCTACTGCTTCCTGATAACTCATTCTAAACAATAGCCAACTCTCCTTTAATTGCATCTAAAATGTTTGCCTGGTAGCATACTGCAGTTCTGCTATCACAATAATTCCAAAATATTAAGTTTACTTGCTGTAAATATCCTCTAGCATGGTGGTTAACTTTTACTTGTATGTTGTAATACTAAACTGTGTACACTTCATGAAGCACAAATAGTTAAATGAGCTCACATGGTTAATTTATCTTAAGTCTATTTTATATTGACTGCTTTTAGTAATCAATGTTTCTATCATTTATTTTACCAGTTGTATCAATTCACAATACAATGTATAGGTTGTCTTCTAGCTGATGGAGAAATGCACTACTTCCTTCTGCTTGAACATACTGCTATTTAATAAACTACTTGACAGGTTCTCTCAGTATCTTCAGTAAAATGTAGTTTGCTGGAAAAGCTGTTATCCTTGCACTGATGAGCCCTCACATCTGCAGAGCCATGTCTAAACCTTTTTCACCTTATTACAGCTGCCTTACTACCAAAAGCACCCAGCAAGAGCTAAAACTGTATGCAATGACGTAACAGGCATTAAAATGTAGTTGTAATGGATTTAATGTGTGTATTTATTTACTACAACACAAAAAAAAAACCAAAACCCTGTTTAAATGTCTCCATTCTAACCATATTTCTGCCACAATGTATTAAGTGTATCACAATGGTTTATTTTACCAATCTATATTTGTTTTTTTGTATAAAACTACTTATGACAATCTAACAATAAAGGCATTCCTTTTGAAAAGATAAAATTGCTGGTAGACACTAAGCCTTTGAGAGAGAAGTTTGCTAAATGCTACCACCTGTTCAATGATTTATGTAGCCATTCTACTAGAAAAAGTTGCATAGTAAAGTACTATTCCCTTATGCATCTGAAAAAAATCACTAAAATTTTTAAGTTCCATGGATGGTGTACAGAAGATTTAAATACTGAGTAATATATAAAACCTTTCAAAGCTGTTAGGAAAGGTAGATCATGGGGAGGAAGTGGTTCAGTAGAATCAAACTTGCCATACTACCAGTGCCACCAACTGGCTTCCCCCACTGACCAGCCTCTTTGCCTGCAGCCCCTCCATGCACCACTCCAGCCCCCTCACACCTTCCCCCAGCCAACAACCCACAACTCCCAGCATGCTCACTCAAACCCCTGCAAAGGGTGTCTCAGAAGAGACCCAAGCCCAGACTGGCTCCCTCCCACCCAGCCATGTGCAGAGCTGCAGCAGCAAGTGGTATTTCTGCACGATAGGCAAGGAGATAACCGGTAGCACTGACTTGAGTGGCCCAGGCCCCCTTTTCCTGGTGCCCTGGGGTGCCATGACCTGCTTCAGGGCAACACCACTGTTCTGGTGCTCACAGGCTGCTGGGCCAGCAGACTCAGGAGCAGCACCTTGCACAGGGCAAGGCATTCCATGTCCCCAAACACCTCAGCCCCCTGCCCCGAGTGGCCATGTCCTGAGCCCAGCACTGAGCTGCTCTGGTGAAACACGTTGCTATAGCCCAGCAATCCCTGAGGTGTCAAAAAGAGGTGACCCAGCAGTTGCCAACTTGCTGGTGCCTTTTCCTTGCTGGTCAGGTTGCCCATTTGTGGGAGGGGTTAGGGTGTGTGTAGGAGGGAGGAAGGGGGATAGGGTGCATGTAGGGATGTGTGGTGAAGTAGAGAGGGATGGTAGCATGAGGAGAATGGAGGCAGGGGGGATGGGCAGTGTGGGGCTTTGGAGGGGGAGGGGTTAGGAAAGGATGGGGTGTAGGAATGGAGGAAGGAAGTAGGGGTAGGAATGAAGATGGGGTAAGGAAGGAAGGAAGGGGGTGGTTGGGCTCTGGGCCATGGAACTCCAGGATAAGGACTAATGGCCCAGATTATCCCACCAGGCTCTCTTCCCACGTGACCCAAATCTAGTTCTCAGGAGGGCACATGAGCATAAAGCCATATGGGGGCACTCCTATGGTTTCATGTCTCTCCATCATGCCCTTGCCTCCAGTGTTTCTGCTAAGCTGTGGGGCAGCACAGCTGCACAGGTGATTAATCAGCCCCACCCAGTCAGTCAACTCCATGCATGGAACCCTGAGCCTCTGACTAGACAGGGCTGATCAATCACCTGTGAAGCTATGCCACCACGCAGCTTCAAGGGGCTGCTACTGTCCACAGGGAGCATGTCCCAGCCCTGCAGTAGGAACTTGCTTGCCAGCTAGAAGGGCACAGATGGAGCACTACTGCCCTGCAAAGACAGGCAGTAACAGAGCACTGAGGGAGGAACTTGGCATGGGAAGTATTCCAGCCCCCATCTTGCCACTGCATCTGTCCCAGCCCTGATCCTGAGCCAGGCCCCATGATCCAGCCCCAGAAAGGATTGGTAGCACCCCTGCTCCTCCTGAGGCAAAGGTAAGAAGGCTGCAGTGGACAGAGCGGGGTTGGTAAACGCAGTAAGCAGGCGGTATAGCCCCCTAGTACAGTGAAACTTAAATTATCTACCCCTACTCTGTTCCTACCATCTCAAAGCTGTTAAATCTTGTCTTCAAATTTTCCACTACCTTTCATCTTTTTTTAAAGTATCTTCATATCTTTATCCTTTGGTATTTGCATAGTATTTTTTAGGATACTATTTAATAAAAGGCACTCCAAACAAGTTGTGGTGGTAGATCCAGAACAAAATCTAGAGTGCTTTTGAGAACATTACAAGTGAGGCTATGCACACAGATCAGTGTTTCTATGACAACGTGGTGGCATTTAAAGGGTAGTGGGGTATAGGAAAGAGTAAATCCCTAGATGGAGGATTAGTTGGATATTTTCCCAGTCACCAGAACTTTCATTTGGCTAAATATCTAAAAAGAAAATATCAACATTTCTGCTTCTGCTTTATCATCCTATCACCAGGAAGGCAGGATCTTTCAAAATCAGCTTTATGAGGGGATAGAAAGAAATGGAGACACTTCAACATAAGCAACTGCATGCTACTAATTACAACCTTGTACAACACTTCAGGTAAGGAGTGTGCTAAGATATGAATGAGCAACTATTTAAAAAAAGGAATACTTTCTTGGGTACTTGGATTCCTCCTCTCTCAGCACCAGGACACCTCCAGTAAAGAGAAAGGGAAACACTGCAGGAAGTGAAAACATTGTCATATCATCCAAAGGCAAGAGACTGGGCTGTGTATAGGTTAAAAATATTAACTAATAGTACGTACTTAATGAAAAACTGCATTGTTACAGATTTCTATATTTTATCATGCACAATACATAAGTTTAACAGCAAGTAAGAGCAGCAGCTGAAATTATCTTCATCTTTAATACTATTAAAAATCACATTTGCTTTGAGAAAAATGCATATACATTGTTTATTTTGTCCCAAAAGTATGATGTGTAATAGGATAAATGCTTCTAAAAGGCAAGTCCAATAGAGTGTGTTGCTCTGCAGTTTGCTCTGGAACATTTAAGGCCCTTACTCCCCTAGGATTCCAAATCTTTGTCCATTACAAGACAAATGTAAATATTCAGCTAATAACCAAGCTATAGCTCAATATTGTATCACAATGGCATATAGGGAGTTACAAGTGAGTCCTAGATAAGCTATGTAAATTGATTTTTAAGCTGTGGTATTAATCGTCCATGTACTACTGACAAATCCTCTTAGCTAAGGTACATACTATCTCCTGTAATAACTTTGGAAAAATCAAATATGAGGTATGCTGTAATAATGAAGGTCCAGGGAAAGAAGTCTAAGGATTTACAGCAGAGGAGTTCTGCAACATTGTAAGTGGAACAAGAAAACAGTTTTAGTCTTCCATTCCAGCAGTACATTACTGCCTTTAAGTTATAAAAAGCTGAAGGCATGTTCTGTACAAAAGGTTCTTTCAACTAAGCCTCTTAAGTTGGTATAAGAAAGTTTTTTCTGAGTACTGGAATCCTTTAAGCTTTCACATGTTGGGAGTTTTAATTGTACGAGGTGGTAATGGCACAATTAATGCTTCTTTGTTACTCATGTTTTGTGCATATAACTTTAGCTACTAATAGGATACATATACAGTTGATTAAAAATCCATTCTCTTTCCAGCTGTTCTGAAAGCCACAGAGGACCAACATGCAGCCCAATACAAATTTCAATCACCCACAAAAAGTTGCTTCATCAGTCTTTCGAATTGGATTTCCCAGAGACTTGACCTGGCTTTCTGCTTACTTTATACAGCAGCCTACCCTTTTGAGAGTTAGAATTCATTTCTAGTTGCCCCGACAAACTGATAAAGAGAGGGAGTGCAAAATCCCAGTTAAGGAGTTACCAAATTAATCTTTCAAGGTTGTAGTCACATCCTTCTACCCCAGGATCTACAAAGGCTACAAGAATATTGGACATCTACTTTGCAAAGAATAAGCAAGCTTGAATGCAATTACTTTGGTCATTACTTAAAAATCACTAGGAGGAAAAATTCTGAATTATTCAAAGATCACAGCTTACCTCAAATAATCACTTTCCCTTTAATCCTATACAAGGCACATAACTACTCCATTCTGCCTCTCAAATATGAGTGGCAAAGTTTATTGGAAGACATAATAAAGCTAGAACAAGCATCTTATTCCCAGAACAGGGGAAGAAGGGAGGAACAGTAGTTGCTTCATCTGAAGCATCGATTGCAGTAAGGTAGTATTTTAAGTATTATACTTAGAGTGACATGTTGCCAAGTAAAAATTTAAACTTCAGAAAACAACTTTTTGAACACATGAACAGCAGTTATCAGATATCTTAAAGATTAGGGCCATGCAGAGTTCAGAATTATCATGCAGAACAGAAGATGAATTATGGTGTATATATAGCTTAAACTAAAAGACTAAGAAAAAATATATTGAAGTGTGAAGAAGTTTGTCATCATTTGTTATTTCATATCAATTCACAGTTTTTTTTAAAAAAGTGCCCCGATACACTATGTGAGAACAGAACTTGGTGAGATTTGTGCTACTGTAGTGGAGAAAGGTATATGCCAAATTCCAGGGAGAACTGACAGGTAAATTTGATACAGCATCCTGATGAGAAATGTGCATGCTTAATTGCATGCTCATTATAAGTGGTCAGATTCAGAGTTAGTCTAACATTTTCTTGGAGACCTAAGTTTTCAGTTAGCTTAAATGTTTGTCTATAGCTTTGTTGAGCCTACTTCTAAAGGAAATATTTAGAGGCTCAATATAAAATCTTTTCCATTGCATAAATACAAGAACAGTTATTATCGTCTGTTCAACAGTAAAATAGGAGCATGGTGTTTAAAATCCATTATATACACAATTAACAGAAAATGCAGCACAATTTGGTAATCATGGTCTCTACATAACATTACTATGCATTCAAAAAAGACTAAAAATGCATCTGTTCCCTTCCAATTTGTGTGTGTTATAAAGCCTTCAACCCACAAGTAGCCACTGGGCCAGAACTTCTTTAAATTTGATAGTTGAACAACTCCCACCCTTTCATATGTGGAATGGAAGTTAAAATAAAGGTCCATAAAAATATGGTTATCCTGCTCAATTAAGAAATACAAATAAGCATCACCAAGTCCCTATTTTAGTGAGAATGCATAACTGAGGTAATTAAAGTCTCCTCTCCAGCCTTTCCAAAATTATCCCATCCCGTTTATTACATTTAACTAGACTGTGTGTTCTGAAGGAGGATGATAAGAGAAAGAATATTCTCAAAGATGTAAAACAAAGCCCATAGCAGGTTTAAGCAAGACAGGACAGACAATTAGGAGCAAGCTATGTTGCTGCTCTAATGGAATCAAAACAAAATCTGCACACAAGGATAAGAACAGCAAGTTCTATATAAGCAACCTGCTTCACTCCCTTCTCAACTCCACTACCCCTGTTTTGAAATACAGATAATTTCAGATATGAAAATGACGACTTGCTGCTGGAGAAAGATCTTGGACAATGGCAGAAAGCTCTTTAACCATCAATGAGTTTCTTGGCTCTGACATTGGCTTGATCAATACGATCTTTGTTTGTATCCGCCTGAAAGAAGAAAAGCATGTATAAGAACTGCAGGTAACTGAAGACTAAATACTATGAAAGCTTTAAAAAACACGTTTAGTCAAATGTTAATATTTAATAGACAACTTAAGGAAAGAGTTTCTATGTATTATAAACATTAAAAAAACCCAAACCACCACACAAGAAACTCTGGAGACTGCACTACACTTTTAAGTAGTTCCAATGGTTAGCTATCCTTACTATCAGAAAGTTGTCCCCCTGTAAATATGTACACACTGATCTAGTCATCTGTTAACCTCATCTTTCTTCTGCCAACCCCCACAGTTGACAAAGCGTACAAGCTCTTCACCTCTTTTTACAACCCATTCACTCTCACCCAGAGGATTCCATATAACATTATTAAAAGGACAAAAAAGAATAAAAGATGTTCTCTTCCCTTAAGCTGGCAGTTGCCAATACGAATTACTTAAACTGACTGCACCTGGAGAGTCTGTGTTAGGTGCACCTATATTAGATGGTGGACACAAACAGTTGGGCCTGCCTGGTAAGTGTTTGCTATATACGGATACATGATTTATTTTAAGGTGTGTGGCAGAGCCGTTATAAGAGGACATCTTTTTGCACCCTCTGATGTGTGAGTAAAAGGGAAGAGATATTTGTGTACCTTTAGGATTCAGTGTGCATCATTTCAGTGAGGAACAGTGTACAATCAGCAAGGTACACAAGATTTATTATGAAGTTCATGTCAGCCCTTTGTGAGCTTAGACATGAGCACAGTCTAAGTATTTACTATCTACATGCCGTCCAGGTGAGTACGATCAGTCAGGCATAGCTGTACTGAACTGTGGAGACAGTTAGCTCTGCTTCACAGAAGTTGTCTGTAAGATCTGTGGAAAAATCTGAGGTATGTGACAGTTGTGACTGTCATGAGAAAATATATATTACCCTCTTATGTGAGGTCAGGGAAGCAGTGCACATGCAGGGTTCAATATACTTCATAATTTCTACGCAGAATTGTGTTGGGTGTCAATAGCAGAGAATAGGACTTCTTATAAAATATAGTCAGCAGTGGGGTAGAATCTGAAGAGATTCTAATGCTTGAATGATGTTAAATGAAAATGATTTACTGAGTAAATGTAAGGGAGTTGTAAAAGGCTGTGAAATGATTCACAGCATTTGTTCTAGGAAGCTGGCTAAGTACAAGGAACCTCCTGAATCTTCTAGTGCCAAGGGCTTATGTGCATACTGAGGCATTACTCAAAGAGGGCAAAGGGAAGGTGGTGTGGACAAACCCCTCTCCCACTTAGTCCTTTAATTATGTTAGATGGCATCCTATGGATCACAGCAGGGGTTGCAAAAAGGCAGTGAAGTGAGTGTACATTTCAGCAATGGCATGGCTGGCAGGGTGAAGTGGGGACACACACACACACACACACACACACACACGAGAGTTAATGGGGCATAGTGGAGCATTGTGGAAGA